CCCGAGTTGTGCCAACAGTGCCCGGGTTGTGGCCCAGAGGCTGCTCATGCCTATACGTACCGGGGGCGTGTTCCGTGAGACGCGCATTTCCGCTTCTGATGCGTGTCCCGTCTTCGGGCGGTTCGCCCAGCCATTGCGCGCGCCCCTTGTTTTCGTGTTTTTGTCCGTGGCTCGTGGTTTTTCGAGTTCGTGTGTTGTTTCGCGCGTTTCTGATTTCGGCGTTGGTTTCCGCATTTGGCTTCTCACTTCGGCGAGGACAAAGGATGAGGATATTGACGACGACGACGACGAGGGGCACTCCGTGACATGCCCCAGGGGGTGTTCCGCGACATGCCCCAGGGGGCATTCCGTGACTTGCCCGACGGGGTGCCCCGCGATATGCCCCCGAGGGCGCGACATTCTTGCGCGACAAGGGGGGGGTCGGAGGAGGAGGACGAGGAAGAGGAGGAGGAAAAGGAAACGGAGGAGGAGGAGGACAAAGGATGAGGACAGGACGGCGACGACGACGACGAGGGGCTTTCCGTGACATGCCCGAGGGCTATTCCGTGACACGCCCCGTGGTTTCCGCTGTGTGTTTTTCACTCCAGAGAAAAATGATGGGGGAGGAAGGAGAACGGAGATCCCGTGACATGTTTACCCTGTCTTTCTTTGTTCCCGGGTTTCTCGCAAGAAGTTATTGTTTCAGTTTGTTGTTGGTTTCCGCGTCTCAATTCTATGATTTGTTATGTTGCTCGTCAAGTTTTTCTCACATTTCGCTGTGCTGTTTGCTCTTTTCGCGCTGTTCGCACTTTTTGCACTGTTCTACTTTCGCGCTGTTCGCTCTTTTCGCACATTTCGCACTTTTCGCGCTTCTCTACTTTTCGGGGCGCTCCCCGCTTATCAAGACCCGGATCTAAGCAGCACAGGGATCCTGGTCCCAGGGTTTTTTTTCGTCAAGGGTTGGCACGTTCACCCTCAGCCGTCTCTGGACGGCACCAGGGCCCACGGGGGCCTCTGGGGGACCCGAAACGACGAGGGACTTCCAGGACTCGTTTCCTTTATGCTGAGAGGAGAAGGAGATGGTTTCTTGCCTCCGCGGCATTATTTCCCTTTCTTCCGTCCGTGGGGGCGTCTGGATAACCCCAGTGATCTTTAAGGATATCCCTCCTCCTCCATCCATCCCTATTCCTTGAAGAAAATGTCTTCCTGTCGCACCCCCAGACGTGTTGGTAGGGCGGGGCGGGCGTTTCGCCTGAGATTTCTTCGTCATTGTGAGATTGAGCTTTGGAACTTGCAACAGCTTGACGGATGGAGGGCGGACGGTGTTCGTCGTATGTTGTGTCTCGCTTTAGCGGTGCGAACATTCGTCCTGAAAGAGATGCAGCAGCTTCACGGATGGAGGGCGGGCCGTGTTTGACATGTGGTTCTCGTGTTATCGTTGCGTACATTCTTTTTCAAAGTTTGCAACAGCTTCAATCATAGAGGGTGGGTCGTTTTCAATATGTGGTTCTCGCCCTAACCCCGCGCGCGCATTCGTTTTAAAAGTTTGCAGCAGATTTACCCATGGAGGGCGGGTCGGTTTCAAACTGTGGTTATCGTTTCAGCGCCGCGCACATTCATTCTAACAATTACCAGCAGGTTTGAAGCATCCGTACGGCGTAAGTCCCAGGAATAGTGTTCAGGCACGATGTAGACACAATGAAGAGCGGTGTTGAAGTCCCACGAATGTTGTTCTGGCACGGACTAGGATCGTCTGGACGCAACAGTCACTTTAATTCGCGGCGTTGGAATCTTAGGAATTTGTTGTGGCGCGATTGGTGATTATCAGACGGTTGTCTTCAACAGGGCATTCCCCGTAGTGAAAGTTGTGTCGGCTCTCTCGATTGGGAATTTGGAGGCAGGGTTTGCTGCAACATCGTTGATGCGTATTGGGTTTATACTGGTCTTCCTTCTCCTCCTCGTCCTCCTTCCCTCATCCTCCTCCTTCCTCTTCCTCCTTCCTCCTTCTCCTCTCTTCCTCCTCAGTTTCCCTCTTCCTCCTCCTCGATTATTGTTCTCCCCCTCCTCATCCTCGACCTCCTCTCACTCCTCCCCCGCACACTCTTCACTTGAGTGGGACCGCGCTTTCAACGCGAGGAAGAGTTGAAGGGAACGGGTCTCGTCGTCGCTGGAGGAGGAGCAGAGGGGAAGGATGGGGGCGCAGGCGCCATGACGTTTTCGGAGGTGGGGGCGAGACAACTGTGCCAAAACAGAATTTCGAGGATTTCAGCGCCGCGAATAAGAACGTGATTGTGCTGCGTCCAGACGATCCTCAATCCTGCCAGGAGGAAGGGCAGGGGAGAAGGAGGAGGGCAGGCGCCATGAGGTGTTCGGAGGGGGGGGGGGAGAAGGGAAGGATCCGAGAGGGAAAGGGTGGCGGGAGAAAGATGCGAGGGAGAGAGAGCAGGGGGAGGGCGGATGAGGAGGAGGAGGGGGAGGAAGAGGGCGACAGGGAGGGCGGCGAGGGGGAGGTGGGAGGAAGGCAGAGGAGTGGGAGGACCAGTGCAAACCCAAGACGCATCAACGTTGTTGCAGTAAACCCTGCAAGACACTTTTAGTTTCAGGGCGGGAAGTGCCGCACTGGAAGACAACCGTCTGATAATCCTCAGTCGTGGCAACCGAATAACATTCAAGACTCCAACGCTGCGAATCAGCGTGACTGCTGCGCCCTGACATTCCTCAACCATACTAGAACATGGTTCGGTCAATTCCAACACCGCTACTAAACGTAACTGCTGCGTCCGGACACTCCGAAATCGTGCCAGAACGCCATTCCTGGAATTTCAATCATGCGAATGTTTGACATTGTTTTAAATGTGAAACCGAATGTGCGCGGCGCTAAAGCGAGAACCACATTTTATAAAGAACCGCCCTCCATATTGAAAACGCTGCAAACGTCAAGACGTATTGGCGCGACGCCAAGGCGACATGTCAGTTCGGATCCCCATTACTGGGGCCCTCTTGGAAGCCGTTGGAGCCTCGTGGGAGGCCTCTTGAGCCCGCTTGGGGCTGTCCTGGGAGCCTCTTGGTCTGACTTGGGGCGATCTTGGGCGCCTCCTGGGCCGGCGGCGACGCCAAAATCCGTTCAAATCGTAGGAACAGTAAAACAAATGCCTCTGGGGGCTCTCTTGGTTCTGTCCAGGACCATAAAGGGGGCTATGTTGAGGCCACTTGGGGCCTGCCATTACTGATCCTGGCTCTTGGGCCCTCTTGGAGCTCCCTTGGGGCGCTCCTGGGGCGATCTTGAGGGCCCCGAAGACCGCTCCGGGGAGTTCTGGCTTCCGTGACACCGACCGACCGCGAGTTGGGGGTCCGCCCAGGGTGTTGTTCGTCCAGGGGCCCCCAGGGTCCGCCACGCGCGCGCGAACCAGATACGACGGGCCTGCTCCTGGAGATTTTAGCGCGCCTCTGGCCCGTTGGGCCCGCGAATGTATATAAAGGCAAGGGACGGAGGAGGAGGAGGAGGAGGAAGGAAAGAGGGCGGGGAAGGCGGAGGGAGTCGGGACGAGGGGAGGAGGGGGAGGAGGAGAGGCGAGCAGAGGGGGTTTAGAGGAGGAAGGGGCGTCAGGAGAGAGATCCGTGCTCACAGCTCCAGTTTGGGGGACAAAAAGTGACGTAAACATAAAAACTGGAGGTCCGCGCGGATTTCTCGGATCGGCGCTGGGGCCCATCGGCGGCGCCTCCAGCGCCGCCCCTGGCGCGCTCCGCGCTCCAGGGAGGGGGGTCCTGCGCCGATCCGAGAAATCCGCGCGGACCTCCGAGTTGTTATGTTTATGTCACTTTTTCTTCCCTTATCAGTCAGGCATGACAGTGACCCGTCGGCGTCCAAAAACCCGCTGCCAGCGACGGGGCACGAGGCGAGAAGGGGGGAGGCGGCTGGGCTTCGCACAGCCCATGACGACAGCCACGAGGGCATCGACCGCCTCCGTCCCTCGAAGATCTCGGCAGGTCCGAGGAGGTCTCCGAAGGTCCCTGGAAATTCCCAGAGATCCCCGCCGGTCCACCGAGATTACACCGCATCGCTGGTGCATCGGCGAATCGGCGCGACCCAGAGCCCGACCTTCTCCGTCCCGATGTCGCTCGTGCATCGCCAATACATCGGCGCTGCGACGCGATCCTCTGACACATCGTTGCGCTCGCGGTCCAGCACCCCTCCTTGTGTTACCTTCTGCTTATTGTTCCCGCATTCTCATCTAGCTTGTTATCTGCCTCCTCCTCCTCCTCCTCCCCTCGTCTTTATCATAATACTGATAAGAATACGAATAATAACAGTATTGATACTATTAATAATGATAGTGGTGATAGCATGAATAGTAGTAATAATAATACGAATAATAATGATCATAGCAGTAACAACAATAACAATGATAATAACAATAATAATAACAATAGTCGTACTACTACTACTACTACTACTACTACTACTACTACTACTACTACTACTACAATAATTACTACTACTACTACTACTACTACTACTACTACTACTACTACTACTACTACTACTACTACTACTACGACTACGACTACGACTACGACTACGACTACTACTACGACGAATACTACTACTACTACTACTACTACTACTACTACTACTACTACTACTACTATTACTACTACTACTACTATTCATAATACAAATACGAATGCGAACAAGAAGAAGAAGAATCATCACCATCATCAGCATCATCATCATCATCCATCACCCATCATCCATCATCAGCATGCTGTTCATCCTCATCTTGCTCCTCCTCCTTCTTCTCATCTTCCTCCTCCTCCTCCTCCTTCTTCTCCTCCCCCTCCTCCTCCTCAACCTCCTCCTCCCCCTCCTCCTCCTCCTCCTCCTCCTCCTCCTCCTGTTGATCCTCGTCCTCCTCCTCCTCCTCCTCCTCCCTCCTCATGCCTCCTCCTATTCCTCCGCTTCCTGTTCTTCATGAATGCTGGCGGCGCCCTCGTCCCCCAGAGATCGAAGCCGGGCGCAGGCCGATTGGGTCAACCTGCCGTCTGGGGACGACCTCACGGCCGAGTCCGAGGCCTCCTGGCAGCGCTGCCGCCGAGCGAGGGAGGGGGAGAGGAGGAAGGTCGGGAGCCACGAGCTCGAAAGAGAGGAATAAGGACGAGGACAACACATCGGGGGAGGCCAAACGGACCCCAAAACAGACGTACCTTGGAGAGGGGGGCCTCAGGGCCCACTTCGGGGCGCCTAACGGCTGCGATGTGGCGCCCATTGTGATTGGAAACGTCGCCATTGCGAGACCTCATTGAGGGTGCGTCGTCCTGGCAAAGAATGCGGAGAACGGGGGTAGGATTGGGAGGTGCATGCAGAGTAGGAGGAGGTGGAATGAGAGGAACGGATGCAACACCTCAGTGGACAAACTCAGATCATCGAAGACGCCTGCGGCGAATCACCGCCGCCCCCTGCCTTTTTGGAAGCGCCTATGTGGCCAAACGTTGAGGCAGACCTGCCAAGCTATCGGACCATGTGTTCCTCGAATCGGTTTGGAAAGCCTTCGGGGAACACGTGGGCATCTTGAAGGTCATCTTGGCCGTCTGGAGGCCATTTTGACCCTTTCGGGCCTTCTTGGAGGACGTCTTGGAGGGCGTCTTGGGCCGTCTTGGAGGCCATCTTGGGCGTCTTGGAGGCTTATTGGGCTGTCTTGGGGGACTTTGGGGCCGTCTTGGGCCTCTTGGGCGATCTTTGGGGGCACTTGGGCCATCTCGGGCCGTCGGAAGGCCGAAACAAAGCAAATGCCACAATCCTCCAAAAACTCATGGGGAATCCTTGTGTTTGGCCTTTTCTGGCCTTCCTGGGGGCCCTCTTGGAAGCCTCTTGTGCCGTATTGGGCCATCTTCGGCCGTTTTGGTGGGTTCCTGGCCCGTCCGACGCCGTCGGAAGCCGTGGGGGGGGGGGCCCTCTGGGCCGACTTGGAGCCATCTTGGGATGCTCCAGGGCCGTCTTGGAGGCCATCTTGGGCGTCTTAAAAGCCTCTTGGCCCGTCTTGGGTGCCTCTTGGGGCCGTCTTGGGTGCTTCTTGGGCCGTTCTGGGGCCATCTTGGAGGCCTCTTGGGCGATAATTGGGCGATCTTTGGGGGCTCTTGGGCCGTATCGGGCCTTCGGATAACCGAAAAGAAGCAATTGTCAAAATCCTTCAAAAACCTATCGAAAATCAATGTGTTTGGCCTTTTCTGGCCTTCCTGGAGGCCCTCTTGGAGGCCTCTTGGGCCAGCTTCGAGCAAACTTCGGCTATCTTGGTGGGCTCCTGGCCCGTCTGACGCCGTCGGAAGCCGTGGGGGGGGGCCCTCTGGGCCGACTTGGAGCCCTCTTGGGATGCTCCAGGGCCGTCTTGGAGGCC